TCTGACCGGGTAATTTGTATGAATTTTATGAGCTAAAACAAATATCTTCAGTTAATAAAAAAAAAAATAATCTTCACGACACTATCTGTCAATCAAAGTACCCCACCTTGCCTCCCCCCCTCTTCCAACCGCGCGGTCAGTCCCAACCCTCCCCCCCACCCCCCACCAATCCTCCCTTCCAGAGTTTTTAACATTTAGTATTAAATAATACCTCAGATTAAAGTTAGGATAATATAATTGACATTGCTGGATTCCTTGTAAGACCAGGAATATTTTGAATATAAATGTCATATATTTTGCACAAAAGATAACATAGTTACCTAGAGAAAAAATTTTATCTAAAATTGTATGTTTAATGCAAAATATATGATGTTTATATTCAAAATGATCACCAAATTATAAGAATTCCAGCAATGTAAATTATATTCTGACCGGGTAATTTGTATGAATTTTATGAGCTAAAACAAATATCTTCAGTTAATAAAAAAAAAAATAATTCTTCACAGGGTAACAGATGGTCGGTCGGTCCCTCCCTCCCCCCCACCCCCCACCAACCGTCCCAAGGAGATGTGTGGGATAACCACTAAATTTTAATAAATAATACCTCAAACTAAAGTTAGGATAATATAATTGACATTGCTGGATTCCTTGTAAGACCAGGAATATTTTGAATATAAATGTCATATATTTTGCACAAAAGATAACATAGTTACCTAGAGAAAAAATTTTATCTAAAAATTGTATGTTTAATGCAAAATATATGATGTTTATATTCAAAATGATCACCAAATTATAAGAATTCCAGCAATGTAAATTATATTCTGGCCGGGTAATTTGTATGAATTTTATGAGCTAAAACAGGCAGTCAGGCAGGGTGGGGCAAATCTAAAAATAGCGTCTGGAGCCGGACACTCACCGCGTATATGTGGAAAAAATCCGTGTTAAGTGAAAGTTCAGCTCTGGCGAGGCACCGCGTATATGATAAAACGCTTTAAGTGAAACCGCGTTAGGCGGGGTAATACTGTATAAAGTTTTTCAACTGTATTTTTGTGTAGATTTACATAAATTTCTTCATTTATTTTCATCCATTTACATGCACACACCATACTAAAAGAAACTTAAAAGAAATAAATGACCTTAGTGCAAAGCTGGAGTGTACATGTACTAATTTGATTACGGTACTAAAATTGTTATGTCTAGTGCAAATTACAGCATGTTTATATTCAAATTAATCAGTATCTTAGAAGAATCCCAGCAATGTTAATTATATTCTCCCAGGTCATTTCACTGGCTTTTTATAAGAGAGAAGCTTAGTCACTTAAGAACTGATATACACGCGTTAGACCTGGGCCTGTGCCAACTGTCAAACGTGCTACCTCCCCCGCTCGCTCCCTCCCTCCCTCTCCCCCATCTGCCCAGCGTTGCTGGAATCCTTGTAAAACAGTGAATAATTTTAATGTAGACGTCATGTATTTTGCACAAGAGATAAAAATTAATCACCTGTATCACATTACAGTAGTGATTTAAGAGCCTGCAGCCCCCCACCCAACTCGCGCAGTCCGCCACTACAGCAAAATTCAGCCCATAAGAGCCCGCACCGATAGATATAAGAACAGCACCATCCCATCTATTGTTAAAATAATAAACAACTCCTGATTTATGTACTGTACAGCCCTGTAAATGTATTCAATGCATATTGTATCATTATGTCTAAATCAAATGTAAGTCTGTATAATTTCAGCCACTGGCTGCAACTCTATTAATAAACCGTTTATTATTATTATTATTATTATTATTATTATTATTATTATTATTATTATTATTATTATTATTATTATTATTATTATTATTATTATTATTATTATTATTATTATTATTATTATTATTATTATTATTATTATTTTTTTTTTTTTTTATTATTATTATTATTATTATTATTATTATTATTTTACATACATGAAAGTATAAATACAAAGTTTATGTGATGATCGGACAACGTCCATTTCGGTTAACGTCACGTTTCCAAGAACATATCTAGGGCGTTAACCGGCGCATGACTGTACAGTTTTTTGCGAGATGAGATTTACAATTTAGAGTCGAGATGAGATGAGTAGTTTAAACTTTCGGTAAACTTTTCCCAGCTCCCAGAAATATTCTGGGGATGTGGGCCAATGTCTGTCTGTGCAAGATGTGTAGTTTAGACACTCGGAAATTTTTCCCAGTAACCGTAGAAGATTCCGGGGATAAGGAATTTTTATGGGTTTGAGAAAGTCGTCTGGCAAGTGGAATCTCTCCTCCCTGGAAGTACTCAGCACCAATAGTTCCGGCTAACCGGGATGTCACTATCACTGTATATTGTAAACAAAAAAGTAATGTGCACTATTACTGTACTGTATATACTGTATTTGCCAACAGATGCTGTAATCTTGAGCTTGTGATGCAGGCCAAATGGTGATATGATGATACAGGATGGCTTGCACGGTACTGTACATGCAGTGATCACACTTATAGAATGTTAATTTATAGTAAACATACACTGTAATCACTCTTTTTCATCCTAACACTATTCTTGACTCATTTAGTCCTGATACAGTAATATATAGTACAGTACTGCACAACACAGTTTGTTCATAAAACAGCAGCGAGCAAGGGAGGAATAACCTTGTACAATTAGAGCGGACTATGAACTAAGTGCGTCAACTGCGTCATGATGTTAGGGTTGGAGGGAATAAGCAGATAGACGCATCAGTGATTCACAGGTATCCCGTACAGTCACATGACAGTATTAGCCAATAACAGCACACAAGTCTGTGTCGTGAGTTACTCAAGCATGTAGCCCACCCACACGCCTGGCAAGCGTCACCCACGCAGCTGGCAAACGTCCCAATCTCTCAGGACTTCCAGAGCGGATAGATTTTCCTAGAAATGCACATGATTCCATTCAGGGAAACTCCTTTCCATGCCCAAAATGGAGATATTTCAACTGGAATTTCTTGGAAGGTTATAAAAAACTTTCTGGATATTGGAGAATTCCGGGTATCGGAGATGCCAGCTAATGGGGAGATTACCCTACAGTACGATAGTATACAGTGGTTTCACAGTTAAGTGGTTAACTTTTTGTGACCATCCACGTAAAAAGTCCCCGCATTTAAGTGTATTCTACTAAAAAACTCTGAAAACTCGGGATAAAATCTTTGGATTCTTAGCTGAAGCGCTTGAAATTTCATCCTCTTCCTAGCATCATGCATGCACACACATGATCCCTGCACCAGTCTCCTGCTTTGTTTCATCCAGACCAGTGCTGTGTTGTGTTTACTCCTGCCTTTGTTGTGTCTTTTCGTGCATGTTGTGGTGGATTATTTTATAATTTTTGTAGCCATGAGTTCCCAACCCAACAGGGTGGTCCAATGCTCAAAAGAAACCACGCTAGCTATAGTATAAATGTAAAATTAGAAGTGATTAGGCAAAAGAAGAGTGGAATTGGACAATCCACCTAGTCCTGTTTCTGTTTCATCCTCTGACTCATCCTCTATCCCTCAACACCCACCTCCATCAATCATATCAAGCCAAACATCTTTGACTTTGAAGCTAAGTAAATAAAAATATTTTATTATGTTAAAATGATTTATTTTTAAAACCTTATAATAAGTATTTTGTCTCAATGAACCACTGGAATGGGTGCACCAGCAACGGCTGCTGCGGACCACCGGGTCGCTGGAACAATTTACGTTGCCTCAACACACCAACCTCAATAAACTTTAAGGACAATAAATAATTTCTTTAAATAATGTGTTATCGAATGTTTAACAAATGTTTCAATGGTAAATAATTGTTAAAGATATCATATAAAAAATTTTGAGTGTCATGGTCCCAATTTGACCTATTTCCATTATTTCTTTTGGGACTAATTCTCCGGTTTAAGTGAATTCGTTTTCAGAGGCGTTTTTGTTCAATCCAGAATGAGACGTCTAGATTTATACCTAGGTAAGTTGATGCCTAGCAATAACTCGCCAGGCCAATATACAAATACAGGCAATTAAAACATTTAATAATTACTTAATACGTAATATTAGTAGGACACGTAGCGCGGTTCCAATTAACCGCAGATAATGAGGACCCCTTTTACTGTACAGTATCCCTAATTACATTAATATGATTCATACAGAGAAAAGTTCCTCATTATAAAATGTTTCACTTTAAGTTGCTATTCTTTGGAACATCCCCAACGTATAATAAGGACCCCCTGTACAGCCATGGATAAAAGCCCTGCCGCCACTCCTGCTGCTGCACAAACCCTGAGATCAGACTCGGGAACTTGAAGCAGTAGATGCTGATGCATTATTTTGTCCACAGATGCTTTGGGTTCACCAATCTGAATCTCTGGGTTTGTGCAGCAATTGAAGAGGCTGCTAAAATCTGTACATTAAATTACAACAAATAAGAAATTTATTCAGTATAACCGTAGTATACTGTATTAGTCAAGTACTGTATATGATTTGGTTTCCCTGCATTGTGTGGCATAAGTGTATAAGTATGCTTCAGATTTGGCTGATGAAATCACTACTTTTCTTAGTTGTATGTAGCAAATGATACACTGTGCACCTTCTATAGCAAGGATAATAAAGTGTATCTCTGATTAGCTTTGATTTGGAGTAGGAGTAATAAGTTAACCAGCTATGAAGATCATGAATGAAACATCTGTAAATTTTATCTTTTATACACATTTCACTTACTTTTCAGCAGGTATTTTTAATTCTAAATAATTTGTTTCTGTATGGTCCTTCAATTTTCTCCACAATTTTATATTCACATCATCACTTCAGGCCATTATCATGCTATTGCTGTGCTCACATAATTCTTTTGAGAACTTCTTTGTATAGCCTTTGTGTAATTTTGTGTATATTATTTTAAACAGTAATCCTACCACCAGCCAAGTATATGCATACTTTTGATGAAATAACATATACTTTTTGAAACTGTCAATAACATATTTTGTATAGGTGGATCTTGGTTCTGTGTTTCGGAGTCCATCTGATAATGGAAGTGTTGCATCTCTAATGAAAGACCTTAAGGGATATATGGCTTGTGATGAAGGTGAGCCAGTACCAATGTGTATCTTCGGAGGACAGCAATCTGTTGAGAAGATGGTGTGTGCTAAGGATGTCATGTCTTGCTTTTCTGAAAAGCTTGACAGATTGGATGGCCTTGAGCCATCAATAACAGACTTTGGTCGGCAGATACTCCTCACAAAGGTAGTTATTATTTTTGTTTTTACTTTAATAATACTCTGTTATTATGTGTCCCACTGTGACAAGACTGAGTCTGGGTGGGTGAGAGAAGTTTGGTTTGGATAAATGATGACAAAAACAGCATAGAAACGGTAGAAATAGGCACACCCAACAAAAAAAGTAATGCTACCCTTGGTTCCAATGGAAATTAGAATGAGCAAATACCTCAAACAGATATATCTGTTGGGTTGGTACCTCTGACTATATACTATAGGCCTAACATCCTTTTCATGCACTCATCTTTGACTTAGACAAATAAAATAGTATTAAGCCTCAAATTTGCATTGAAATGAAGAGTCAAGTGCTCTGTGAGTACCTAAATGATAAATTATTAGGTTAGGTATTTGTGGCATGCAGTAAGAAAGGATTGTTTTAGACTAACAGAAGAGTTACCATTTTCCCCAAAATATATAATTATGGAAGAAAACCAACATGTTGAAAAAGCCATTTTTTTCTAAAAAACAGTTTTTGTGATATAATCCAGAATGGTATGTCTAGCTTTATTCCTAGGTATGTTAATGCCTAGCAATAACTTACCAGGCCAACATACAGGCAATTAAAACATCTAACAATTACTTAATACGTAATATTAGGAGGACACGTCGCTACCTGGCATTTAATTACAATTCTCAAAACCCCCTCCCGCACCCTCCATCACACGCATTGCTACCGTCATCTCTTGCATTATAGCGAGCAGTAAACAAATGTCAACTCTCGAGGGGTGGGATGTCGACGTCACATTCTGGACTATATCACAAAAGCTGATTTTTAGAAGAAAAAACGTCTTTATGTTCAATCCAGAATGTGACGTCTAGCTTTGATTACCCGAGCAGGAGGTGGAGAGGGAGGCGACATTGCGTATAAGGCTCCGCTGGCTTAGGTCCGGATTATATATACGGGTATATTTATTTATTTATTTATTTTTTTTTTTTTTCAATATTAGGAACATTTACTGGAAGGTAAAATGTTAATTTACATATCCCAATTAGGATACTCACTTTACTCTGATGAGGAAGAAGAAGGTCCTAGTTGTGGAGATTGACTAGGTGGGGGAGGGGACCCCAGCACCACCACATGTGAAGCATCTTCCAGAGATAGATGAAGATAGCTGTTTCAAAGGTTTTTGAAGATTTCCAAAAGCCCACTTCTTTGATCTGACTGAGGCTCATATGCAGCAGAAAGGCCACAGACCCTGCATATTTCCTGGTGTCATGTGCCAAATATTTCTTGCCAGGGTCTGCTTGACTCACTAACTGAGATAAATATTTTGTCATTTGACTAGGAGACAATTTCTTACCACCCTGTGATGAGAATACATAGGGGCCTCGATTAGGTAATCTGGTTAACCATTCTTATAGATTCCTAACTGGGCACAATATATCAGGAACCCTTGTCTCATCCATCAGCCATTTTATCCTGATAAATTGAGCTCTAAAATCCTCCCTTTCATTTTTTCTTAGGTTCTCCAAAAGAAAAAGGGTGACATCTTCCTCAGAAAATACCAATAATGATGGATTATTGGAAAATGAAATCAGCTCACTGATTCTCATACCTGTTGCTATTGCTAGAAGGAAGGCTGCCTTCTGGAGCAATCTGTCCCGGTTCAGACTTATATTGTAATTAGGCCCCATAAGAAATTTAGTAACTATCTAGAGACCAAGGTGGGATTCTCTTAGGCCGAGGAGGTCTCTGAATAAAAAAGGACGATTTGAGCATTTGATAAATTCTTGGGTTCAAAGAAATATTAAAATCCCATGCCAAAGGGTCAACCAATGCTTATTTATAAGATGCAGTGGTCGATCCTTGAAGACCTTTAACTCTGAACAGAAAATCTAAAAATTCTAACACCAGTTTCTGACAATGTGATTGGAGTCGTTCACCTAATGAATTATTGAAAAGGTTTCCAAGCTTTCTCATATTGCATAGAAGTTTGGGGCCTATGACCTGATATCATTTCGGTAACGATATTGGAATTACCCAACAATCTATTTAAACATCTTTCGAGAAACTCCAAGCATGAAGTGCCAAGGATATCTCGAACTGAGGGTGCAGTAACTGGTCTAGACATCTTTGTTGCAATTGTAGTGGATGTGGGCACCAGTCCAACAGATCCAGGCACCAAGGTTGTAGGATCTAATATGGCACAATTAAGAGGACCTTCCCTTGGAAGGATCTGAGTTTGTGAACCACTTTGGGGAACATTTTCACAGGTAGGAACAAATAGATTGAATTTCAATGGTTCCAATCTATGAGTAGAGCATTTCCTAAAAGATTCGACCGTTCCAGAGATGCATAAATTGGCATTTTGTGATTGTTTTGTGAGGCAAAGAGATCTATTTGTGGAGTCCCAAACCTCCTCACTAGACTCTTGAACTTCGATATCTTTAGGGACCATTCTGTTTCCACAGGGCCGCCGCTTCCATTAGGCGAGGTTAGCAAATGCTAAGGGCGCCAACAGATACAGTGTCACCACCACAGCTCCATTCTTCACAGCCAACAGATACAGTGTCACCACCACAGCTCGAATGTGCTGCATCCAGGGCTGCACCTGTTGACCCCACTGACTGGCCATCCTCAATGTTCAACCAGGAAAAAGCAGAACTTGTTAGCAGAGGACCTTACCAGGTTGATCCTAATTATTTGTTTCCAAAAAAGGATGGGAGAAGATTTCAACATGATTACTTTTGCCAAATCTTAGTAAATGGAGAGAAGATCCAAAGAAATTGGCTAATTTATTTGGTGAAACAGGATAAACTTTTTTGCTTTTGTTGTAAAATGTTTTCTATGAAACATGTTAGAATGGCTGAAGAAGGCATCAATTATTGGAAAAATGCCAGTCATTTGCTCAGCACATGAAAATAGCATAGAACACACTAAAAACATGACAACATGGAAGGAACTGGAGGTCAACATTGCAAGAGAAAGGACGATAGACCGACGGGATATGGAAATGTTAATGGCTGAGTGGAACAGGTGGCGCCAAGTCCTCACTAGACTAGTGGTGATTATTCAGTCTCTAGCTGAAAGAAATATGGCTCTAAGAGGGTCAACCGAAAAACTTATACCTGTATATCTATCCAATGGTAATTTTCTCCAAGAAGTGGAACTGGCTAAATTTGATCCAGTTATGAAGAATCATTTAAGTAGGGTTGAAAGTAATGCAGGCAATCACAGTCACACTCACTACCTTGGCCAAATGTTCCAAAATGAACTGATTAATATTATCAGTGCAAAGATTACCGAGAGAATCGTGGACGATATCAAAGCATCAAAATACTTCTCTATTATTTTAGACTGCACCCCTGATTTGAGTCACAAAGAGCAACTTTCTGTCATAATCAGGATAGTGGCACTTGAAGACAAGCCAACAATAGAGGAGCATTTCTTGGGGTTCCTTGAGGTAGAGAAGTCTACAGGGCTAAATTTGTCATGCCTTCTACTCGGAAGACAGAAACAACTGAACATTTCTTTTGAGGATTGTCGAGGTCAGTCTTACGACAATGGAGCAAATATGAGAGGAAACATCAAAGGAGTTCAAGCAAGGCTTCTTCAACAGAATTCTCTGGCCTTATTTGTCCCGTGTGGTGCCCATAATTTGAATTTGATGTTAGCTGACGCTGCCAAGAGCTCCCTAGATGCAACTTGTTACTTCGGATATTTAACGAATGTATTCACATTGTTTTCAGTCTCCCCTCAGAGGTGGCAAGTTCTTTTAAAACATGTCAATATTACTCTGAAATTGTGGTCAGACGTCAGATGGGAAAACCGAGTAAAAAGTGTGGAGGCAATTAGATATCAACCTGCGCAAATCAGGGAAGTGCTTTTGGAGCTCAGAGAATCTGCAACTGACCCTGTCATCAAAGTTGAGGCTCAATCGTTGGCAGAGGAAGTAGGGTCATACCGTTTTGTCATTTGCTCAGTTGTGTGGTATGATATACTCAGCAAAATTCAGCACGCGAGCAAACTAATGCGGTCGACTACGATGCAGCTCAGTGTGACTGTAGATCTGCTTAAGAAGACCAGAGATAATATTGTCAGCTACAGAAATACAGGTTTTGCTGATGCACTAACTATTGCTAAAGAAATCTGTGAAGCGATGAACGTAGACACCGTGCTGAAACAGAAGAGTTTAAGAACTAAAAAATGCCACTTTAGCTATGAGTGTGCAGACGAACTTGTCAGCGATGCACTCAAGAGGATGGAGACTACATTTTTTAATGTGGTAGTGGACACTACAATTTCCTCTCTTAATGAGAGGTTCAAGACCTGGGGCGAGGTGAATGAAAAGTTCAAGGTATTGTTAGGGTTCACGGACATGTCTGACAAAGACATCGTCGATCACTGCCAAACCCTCAGCAACACGCTTACTCATGAGGGACACTCGGACATTGATGGAAGGGAACTGGCCATGGAGCTGCAGAATGTCCCAGATTTGCCTTCCAAGAGAATGACAACATTGGATTTTCTCACCTTCCTGCATGAAAAGAAACTTAAGTATTCCCGAACTAATGGGTAGCTCTGCGGATCTGTGCAACTTTCCCTGTTACGGTGTCGGCAGTAGAGCAGAGCTTTTCTAAGTTAAAATTGATAAAAACTTATTTGCGATCCACAATGGCGCGGAACGTCTTAGTGGGCTGGCCGTCATCAGTGTGAACCATGCAGTGTCTAGGGAGTTATCGTATGACGATGTAATCGACGAATTCGCTTCCAGGAAGTCAAGAAGAGTCAAGTTATAACTGTTATAAGCAGGCACGTAGCGAAGAGGAGAAAACTGCGAAATCCAGAATGTAATGACATATGTTAATTGAATTGCTTATTGTTTAAATACAATGGTAGTTTGATTTTGAGTGTTTTTTACAGTCACTTTTCATGCCATTATTTTATGTTGCTTGTTTTGTGTTTTTCTTTGGATCTTCCACAGTTTAAGAGGATTTGCTAATTAATGTTTGTACTGTACAGTATTA